GAAGGTGGTTAGTGTCATTTGAGGGGGGCAAGAGGGGGAGGATAGGAGGGGGGGTTATAAAACGTATAAATTTATAAATTTATACGTTTATAAATTGAGTAGATACATAATGTTACAAAAGATGTCTATTTTAAATAATTGCTGTTCTTTTCAACTTCCTATTCCTTAAAGAATCCTGCAAAAATGTATCATGATTTCAACAAAAATATTAAGCAAAAAGTATTTTTAACATCACTAATAATAAGAAACATTATTAATGGCTGTGTACCAATAATAACTGATAATAATTGAGAACCAAATCAGCATATTAGAATGATTTCTGAAGGATCATGTGACACTGACACTTTAAAAAAAAAATACAACCTTGTTGAAAAATACAACATGTTTGTCCCACAGTTAACCAGAGGAAATCTAGCACAACTTGGCACCAAGCACGATGCAGTCAGTTTTGTTCAGTCTCGATCTAGAACATCAGAATTGATAATAGTGATAAGTCATTTTGAATTTTTAGTTAAAAAAGGAATGAAATGTGTGAAAATGGTTGTCTGATCAAAAAAAAAAAGAGCATAGCAGCAATTTTGACCTCACTGTATCTAAATAGCAAATGATTGAGTAGCACTACTGATTGCTGGTGTCAGTGGGGTGAATGACACAAAGTCATTGTGCATTTTGAATGGTTATAGTCTCAATTCTCAATTCAATAGATCAATTTTCACTTCAATAGTCTAATTAGGCAATATCTCGTTCATAATCGCAGATGAATCGCATTCGATTATGAACGCGATATCGCCTAGCTTGTCAGTGATCTACGGCTCTGTGTAGTAAATGCCACTCCATCTGAAAGCAGGTGATGGCAATTTACTACTAATCACGGAACCGGCTTTACTGACGAGATGCGCATGACAATTGCATGCGATTAATTGAACAGCCCTACTTAAAAGTCAAGAATGTCCCTGACAGCACATTTTATGGGTAGTGCACAATTAACGTTTGATCCCAATAGGCCATGGGTAAAATTTGCAAATAGATACTGTATGATATATAGGCCTACTCTGTAGCTGACATTTTAGCACCTCACTGAAAGCAGCTGAATGGTAATGGATAGTGTAATTCTCACTAGCAGGCAGTATTACTGTTTGCCCATACTCACTTACGTGTTTACTACTGCCAATTCCTAGTACTGGAATGACTTTTAATTACACAATTACCTGAAAACTGACATTACTAATGATTGTTTTTCTTGCTTCCACCAGGCTGTCCAGCGGGGCGTTCAGGACTGCCCCATTTGCCTGAAGCGATTGGGCTCAAACAACAGCTCGTCTAAGGAAGACAGGAATGTCATATTATGGTCCTGTTCCCATCTCTTCCATGAACCCTGTCTGCAGGCCTTTGAGCTTTTCTGCCATGAGGTGAAACCCACATGCCCTCTCTGCCGGTCACACTATGCTAAAATGCTTGTTTCAAATTAAAGCTCAGTGTATTTATTAGATAGACTTGTTCTATTTATTTCCTTAATGAGACAAATTCAACTTCTCCCACATCACAGTGAAAGGCTTCAATTGTAATTCTTCATCACCAAAGAGTCCCCAAAAAAAGTCACAAGCTTTATTGTAAACTGAAGTGGAATACAAAGTAAACTAAAGAGAATCTGAACATTTTGAACAACACTACAAATACAAGAGAATACATTCTGAAAAAAACATTCACACAAGTAAAAGAAGCTACAGGCAAAAATGGAAACAGAATTAAGCTTTCCCTTGGAGCTGAGGATGAGAATTCAAAGGAGGCCGACAGACATTTAGCCTATGATGAACAAACAAGCAGTTTGGTGTGTAGACATGACACTTTCTACTGAAGCGCTGTTCAAAAGACTGATGAACTGAAAATATCCAGCATCCTTGATGTACTACGTTTTTTGTAACAATGTTGTATAGGTGATGGGAGGAGGATTGGAAAGAGAGATGAACAACAATCAGATCAAGCAGATTATAGAATATGGAATGAATAGGCTTCTTTTTCTTTCACAGTTCATTCTAGTATATCACTGCAAATGCCTCTATTCTGAGAAACCCAACACACCAACTGACACGCCGGTCCTTGTGCTGCATAAAGTAACAGCAGCATATGTTAAAAAACAATTAAATTAAAGCCAAAGAGTAGAATTTTGTATTATATAGTTAATAATGACATATGATGTTCTGGCATTACAAAATTTGTGCAGACAAAAGTGACATTAAAAGTTGAATACACACACGCACACAAATAGATTACTTCAACGACACAATTATTGACATAATACACTCATTCCCCAGATATTTTCTTACAAAATATTCGTTGTGCAAATCAACAGGAAAAAAATATATTTTACATGTAACTTTTTTTTAAATCCATGAAAATAAAAACACCAAAACAGTCCATCAAACTGAACCACAGAACCCACTGAGGAGTCAAGTTTTAAATGACATTTTCACAGGTTTTGAATTCAGTGTCCCTAATGTGAATCTTTGAACTTTGCAAACACAAAATCCAATCTGATTCCTGCCCAAATATTAATATTCCATATCAGTGCCCTGACAGTTTTATTTTTTGCCTTTGGCCAGTTCCAGTTCAACGATACGCCCTGTCGTTTTGGTATGCCATGTTATTGACAATCACAAGAGGGATTCACAGTGAATTAGTCAATAAAAAGGTGCACACGCTAACAATCTGTCTCACTCTTTCACTCATTTGCACATCTCACACATGCACAACTTGTCTCCTCAATACTGGACAACAGGAGACAAAAACAAAAGCCCAGAAAGCCTGTTTAAGGCATCAGAGGTGATTTTTTTTTTGGTTTGTTTGTTTTTTACAATAAACAAATGCTGAGCATCTAATTGTCTGGTCTTTTCCACAAATAGCATAGTATGAATGAGGCTCAAGAGCGGTTTCATATCTACATTCTACAAAAATAAAAAGAGGAAATATACTGTATATACATTTAAATACATCTTTTACATTATAATGATGCTTGCCATAGTGAAAGAGATGTACAGTGAAGAGTGAACACAGCATGTCTGTTCAGCTTTATATAAAACCTTAAGAGAGAAATGTCAGGAATGGCCGAAACGGATTTCTTCATGTTCTTTTAGCCTGTTGGGTTTGTCGTCAGAATGGGAATGTTTGGAAACTACACTGAACATATTGTACATTAACGGTGTAATCAGTAACTTTTAGACAATATTAAAATAAAATAAAAAAAAAGACAACTTCAATGTTTCCCATTCAAAATCTCAAGCATCATCAAAAAAAGCTTGTGTTGAAAGTGGTAAAAAAGGGTCAAGTTTTCACCCGTGGGCAAACATATGCATCCGAAGTTAATGTGCTTAGTTTTCAGACTGACCGGCCAGCTTAAAAAAAATAAAAAAATAAAAACTTGCATCTGTCCAACATCCACTAATTACAGCAAAAGACCCACAGTGTAGACTTGCAAAACTAAAACGTGAAATGGATTCATTAGTTATACCCATTCATTTTTTCACCTTAATAAATCCCTTGTCGTTTTTTCCGCCAGTCCTAAAAGGAGAAAAAACTGCAGTAGGATAAATTACACAAATCAGATTTAATTTAAGGAGTTTTCTGGACTTCATGACCAGTTAATGAGGGCAATGACCAATTTCTGTACTCTGTAATGTTTAAAGGGAACTGTAAAAGAGATATATCCTTCAATGAGTCGTGCTGCTTTCTACATGCATAATGACAACTGACTCCACTCGGACTTCACATTCATTTCACCGCACAATAAGCTTTAATAGGTGTGAATCAGACTGATGTGGCTCTGCAGTCCTGTTTTCACAGCCTTTATATACAAGATCTGTGTAGACTGAGATTTCATTAGACTGAACAGGCTGAGCTGGCTTAAAATCCAGCATGAGAGCGAGTGAAAAAGCAAACAAATATCTATGTTCACGGATAACCTGCCATTTGCAAAAAGCAAAGCAGCTGCAGAGGAAGGCTGAAATAAGGCAAATATATAGATCCCCACAAGCTCTGCAGCAATAACCAAGTTCAAAGGACGTATGTTATTGGCTATATGCTCTCAGTACATGTAGCATAGTATAGTATCAAATGTTGTGGAGGAAGTAGCAGCAGATTTAAGTAGAGGAACAGGAAGCATATCCCAAGATTGTGCCTCACCTTCTCCCAAATATTTGGTGCATTTTACTACTAAGACAAAAGAGCTGCATTTCTTTGCTGTCATTTAAATGTGATCACCTTCCTTATTCAAGACGACGATTCGATCCATTAAATGTGTTGAATCATTGAGGTGATATTAGCAAGATTGACCGGCTGGTCGCAACATTCCTAAACGCAACCAATTCAAGTAAACACAATAACATGTTAAGCTGGTTGTCGGTGGTGACTTGAACCCAAAATGTCCACATCTGAACCTTGCCTACTGATGGAAACAACAAGAGCAGTTGCAGTGCAAGAAGAAATTTGGCAGGTAGGCTCCTCCACTCTTAGTACCAATCCAATACTACCCAGAATATGCCAATATTGTGAGTAAAGGCACATGTCTGGGGAGTTTCCTTGTTAATTCCCATTCCCATCCAACAAACCTGAATTGTCACAGTAAAGCATGAGGAAATTAAAATCATAATGCTTCCTCACTTACAACAGATAACCTTATAAATAATAATTGATCTTCATCTTAACAAAGTGAATGTAAACATATGCAATGGCAGACAAAGAATAACAAGTTTTCAGATCACAAAACTTACTTTACGCATCAAAATTCAAGCAATAAATTTGACAGCTATGGACCAATGCTGACAATGAAACTTTTAGAGTATTCATCATCGTGATTGGCCATCACATTTTGCCCCATTTGCCTAAGAACCAGTTAATTTGGCATTAAAACATCTGTAACTTAACTTGAGATTAAATGTTCAGCTTGACTCACTGCAATGCTTTCTTTCCCAGTGTTAAATTTGACCATTCTGCAATTCTTAATCGAATATAGTTTCTTATATTCGTACTCATATCACATGTAATAAAGGTCTCTTGACAATATCACTGTTGTTTTTAGGGGAATTGTTTTTATGGGCCTCAACCCGTTTCATCTAAAAAGTTCCATTTAACTTTAGAAAATGTTGTTAAACAATAATTGCCCTAACTGAGACTAAATTTCATTACACGCGACATTATCAGCTTGGCATATTTCCCTTGATCAAACTAGGGAAAAATTATAGATGATAAAAATAATAATAATATTCCCTCATTGAAAGGTGCAGTCAAGAGGTCTTTTAGGTGTGCAGGTCAGCAAGAAAAGAACATTTTCTCACTTAAGAGAATTGGCATGAAAGCATTTACAAGCTGAAAAACAAAGACTGCAAACCCAATTGAAATCATTGTGAATCTCAGACTGGTTATAGCTGGAAGCATTCTGCAGGGAGTTTGAGTTTCAAATGAGAGCTGGACATACACTGCATGTCGGGTGACTAGGAGTCCAAACTCGTCAACATTTTTTTTTTCTTTCTGTTTTTTTGATGCTCTCTGATGTTGTATCACTATACTCTTAAAATGAAAAAGCCAACTGAATACACATACATGAGTTTGTGTGAGGATGGCTGGATTTTGTTCTCACAGAGTTTTCTGATGACCGTTGACAGCATGTTTCCCTGACTCTGCATCTGTCGGACTGTTGGACAGATTTAATTTATCCAGACCTGAAACCAAAGAGATAAGTATTTGAAACATTTGGATGCTTTGACTCTCGTAGACAAATAATATGGCATTTCAAAACTAAAACTCCATTATGCATTGTATGCACCATTATCAGTATGCCCTGCTAGCGGACTGCCCTGAATATATAGACACAGACATGAGCATAAAAAGAGTACAGAACGCGATTGTGGAAAATGTAGACCAGAAAGAAATCTGGAGATTAAATTACAATATAAGAAGTGCTAGCAGAATGGCGTTGGGCAGAATACATTACCGAGGGCTTTGAGGAGTTCCTCTCGCACAGCAGATGTGAATTTTCGGACCAGACACAATGTGGTTACCACAGCAAACAGAAGATTGTACGAAAGTACGATGTAAAAATTTCCAAGCCAATTAAATCGTCCAAAATCACCCAGGAGATCAAACCTTGTTATTCCTGCAGAAAGCAAGACACAGAAAAACGGTCAATTCTCAGATTCCCTATTTTTTTAGCATACAGTGGGTGGGAGTTTCTTGAAAGGATTTGCCATTTTAAACTCACTGTCAACGTCTCAAGCATAAATAGAAAATAGAGTGAAGAAATGGGGAGGTGTATGGTTGGAAAGAAAGGATTGAAAGAGCAGGTAAGGGCTCACGATGAAGACATGATAAAAAGAAAGACACTTAAAGGACCACAGCTCCATCTCAATCAGATTACACAACATCATAAAGTATCTTTTTCCCACATCCTAGATAAGCAAGTCTCCCATTTACCATCTGCTTTCATATTTCAGTTAGAATGAAGTTTGTTTATTGTCGTCAGACAAAACTGATTGGGAATAAAACATTCTTTCTGAAACAAAACGTACAAGTTGCACTCTCATTTTTATGCCTAAATGTTCCATGGCCACAAGGTGCATGTGCACATTCAAATGAAATGTTATTTGTACAGCGTAAAAATCTGAAATTTGAGGATTGTGTTGCCAAATAAGTGATTACCTAATTTAATCAAACTGAATGCACAATGTTTTGCAATTTGACCTGAATTAACACACAGGTCATCACTTTATCACTTCACACAACCAGAATACAAACAAGATCAAATAAGGCTAAAAATGCAAGTGCATTCATCATTGAAATGACAAAATATTTTAAAGAGATTAATTTGACAAAGCAATTTAACCTCCTGAAAAAGGATTAGCTTTTTCAAAGAAGTAATATATAGAAAATACTTTCATGTTCCATTTTATCATTTCAAATCAAACACTCCACATATTCGAAACGTTTGTCTGAAGACAGAAATATTAAATAAATAATTAACAACCATTTATCATTTTCAAACACTGACAACAAATTAAGCACGTTTAATCACATTAAGATCAGAGTTCAATTAGCTTCATATTTCAAAAAGGAACAATCTGCCGCCTCCTTTCTCCCCCTTTAAATGCATCATGGGTTTTCCTATTGGGCATGATTCTTTTTTTCCCCTCCTCTCTCTCCTGCTTTTGGGTGCTCCTTTAAATAACTTTATAACTCAACCTTTTTCTGGACTACCTCTAAATAAAATATTGAGTACAACAGGCTGACTCCTGAGGATAACTTAAAACAACTTCAATGTTTCCCATTCAAAATCTCAAGCATCATCAAAAAAAGCTTGTGTTGAAAGTGGTAAAAAAGGGTCATGTTTTCACCCGTGGGCAAACATATGCATCCGAAGTTAATGTGCTTAGTTTTCAGACTGACCGGCCAGCTTAAAAAAAATAAAAAAATAAAAACTTGCATCTGTCCAACATCCACTAATTACAGCAAAAGACCCACAGTGTAGACTTGCAAAACTAAAACGTGAAATGAATTCATTAGTTATACCCATTCATTTTTTCACCTTAATAAATCCCTTGTCGTTTTTTCCGCCAGTCCTAAAAGGAGAAAAAACTGCAGTAGGATAAATTACACAAATCAGATTTAATTTAAGGAGTTTTCTGGACTTCATGACCAGTTAATGAGGGCAATGACCAATTTCTGTACTCTGTAATGTTTAAAGGGAACTGTAAAAGAGATATATTTTAAACGGAGTAGAATTTTAAACAGAATACATCCAGTTATTTGAATATGCATGTGGAAATGTATATGCTATGTCAAAAGGTTTCTCTTGTGCATGCCTGATTTTTTGGGCTGTGGTCAAATTCACACCCATTATCTTAAGTAAATTAATTGCATAGAATCTAATAACATCTGTAGTCCTTCAGATACAACAAGGTCTATAACCGCTAGTCACTGACAGCCATATTGAATGAAAACAATGGCATAAAACTTTGGGTGAATGGCTCTCTCACTCATGAACAAATCTATTATTGAGCAAATTCTTTTTCAGGTGACCCCTTGTAATGGCTTAATGAAATGAAGAAACCCAAGTAACCTATACTTCTCAGAAATGAAGAAAAAAAATATCAAGAGTTTAATATTGTTAAAAAGGAGAGTGCTAGGGTAAGAGTTAACTGTCTGTGTAAAGGTCAGTGCTGTCACACAAGTCAGTTTACCTTTCCCACATTTTCAACAGGCTCCTGCAGTCTGCTTATGTATGTGTGCACACACACATACGTTTCACTATATTAGTGAGGACATCTTATAGACATTGTTTTTATATCAGGTTAATGATATTTCTGATCCCCTAACCCTAAACGTAACTCCCACCAAAACATGATTCCGCTAATCTTTAACCCTTTTTAACTATTGATGTCCAGTTCACTTGTCAGTGTTCAACATGTTTTACTATATTAGTGAGGATATTTTTGAATAGTGAAGATATTTTGGACCTCACAAATAGCCAAACCTGTATATATTCACACACACACACACACCCCTTTGAGTATTTCTGCAGGACTTCCATCTTTCCACACGGGGTGTTTGTGAGTCTATTTGATAGTAAATGTGTTTTAATTTGTTTAATTGAAGACACTGTATGAGCAAAGTTGTTGAAATTCTTTGGTCAAATAAAAACTACTTCATGCAACCTCTCCTTTCATCTATTCAGTGTAGCACAGCAGAAATACTGATATTTTTCTGAAGCTCTCAGTGAGTCACTGTACTCACTCATTCACTCACACACACACACAAAGCTATTTGAACAGCTGTCTGTAGCTTGCCATGTTGTTTATTGCAGCTATTGTGACGGCTGCTCGTCTGTCCTTTTTCTCGCTCCATTCTTGTGCTGGAATGTAACTTGTTAAATCTTAACAGTGGAAATGAGTTTGCCTGTATGTGTATACGTCAGTGCAGCTGGAAAATGCATAAAAATGGTAGTATCCAAACACAAACAAACACTTGATGCAATGTTTATGGTAACCCCAAGAAATACACAGACGCTTATAAAGGATAGTGTACACATGCAGGTAAGGAGGACCTTACCAAGTGTTCGGGACATGACAGGCAAGGCCGAGCTCAGCACTAGAATGGATACACAGCAACCAATGATCTACAAGAAGAAGAAAAAAACAAGACTAAGAAACATTTCCATCATTCCAAATTAAATATGATAAAAGATCCCATAGTTGATTGGTAAAAAAAAATTTGAATGCACCACGACCACATTTTTTGGCAAAAGAATAATAGATTTAAAAAAAGTAAAATAAAACAATGCATATCCTTGAACTCCTTTACATTAAGTACAAAATATTATTTATGCAATAATACGTATTTTTTAATTGCAAGGTTATAAAACCGAAGCAGTGTTGCAGATCCTACCGTTGTCATGGTAGTGTCGTCCTTTCTGGGTGTGAGCTCCTGAAAGATGCGAAGGCTATAGAAGCCAACCACAGATGAAACCAACAGATAACTGTTTAACAGTTAAGACTAACACAGTTGTTTCAGTCAAAACATTCACTAACATTTCCCTCTAGAACACACTCGCAACAATCATAAGCAAACAACTTTGAGTCCCTTCACTAAACACACACAATCTGCGAACAAACACTAGACTGGAGCTTATGCAGCATTAGTGTATCACACACAGCAAAGGATACAACATGAGAATGATTTCAATAACCGCCTGGGCAACTCCAAATGTGGATAAGGAGGCATTGCCAATATCTCTCTCCTGCAGAAACAAATAGTGAAAGTTACAGTCAATGGTTATTTTCATAAACTGAGTTTTTTCCCCCCAAATAAAATTTGGCTTCAAAATATGATCATTTTTTGCATGTCTCTCAAAGGCACCGGTTGAGGTTCTGGACTGTGGTAATACTCTTACATGGAGTAAGTGCATGCAGTGGACGTGTTTTAGCGACGTGCCCAATGCAAAGGTTCCTGTTACAACCGAAGCTGTGTAATCTAAATAAGACTACAGTGTTGACACCTCAGTGCTTCAGGCAGTGTGAGCAGAAAAAAGCGGCACAAATATTTGGAGCTGTTCTGAGTGAACGCTATTATGAAGAAATAAAACATATAAAGCTCAGATTAGTGAAGTTTCCCTTCTCACCAATGAGGACAGACAGAGTGAAATTGGTGAAGTAATGAATGGAAGCAGATGAAAGAAATCTTTTTAAATTCACCGCCGCTCACACACGCATAATATGTGAGCAGGTGTTCAAACAAAAAAGAAAAAGAAAAAAAAAGGCAATAGTGCTCTTACAGTAAGAGGCTGCTCAGAATGAATGGCTGCCAAAAATTAAGAGAAAAATTTTGGGAAAAAAACCAACAAAACAAATGCGCTGGCAAACAACGTTTTTCAATCTCAGGCCTTTAATATCTTTTGAAGTCACTGATGTGATCTGAATGTTTGGATTGGAATTTTTGTTTAATTGAAGACACTGTATGAGCAAAGTTGTTGAAATTCTTTGGTCAAATAAAAACTACTTCATGCAACCTCTCCTTTCATCTATTCAGTGTAGCACAGCAGAAATACTGATATTTTTCTGAAGCTCCCAGTGAGTCACTGTACTCACTCATTCACTCACACACACACACAAAGCTATTTGAACAGCTGTCTGTAGCTTGCCATGTTGTTTATTGCAGCTATTGTGACGACTGCTCGTCTGTCCTTTTTCTCGCTCCATTCTTGTGCTGGAATGTTACTTGTTAAATCTTAACAGTGGAAATGAGTTTGCCTGTATGTGTATACGTCAGTGCAGCTGGAAAATGCATAAAAATGGTAGTATCCAAACACAAACAAACACTTGATGCAATGTTTATGGTAACCCCAAGAAATACACAGACGCTTATAAAGGATAGTGTACACATGCAGGTAAGGAGGACCTTACCAAGTGTTCGGGACATGACAGGCAAGGCCGAGCTCAGCACTAGAATGGATACACAGCAACCAATGATCTACAAGAAGAAGAAAAAAACAAGACTAAGAAACATTTCCATCATTCCAAATTAAATATGATAAAAGATCCCATAGTTGATTGGTAAAAAAAAATTTGAATGCACCACGACCACATTTTTTGGCAAAAGAATAATAGATTTAAAAAAAGTAAAATAAAACAATGCATATCCTTGAACTCCTTTACATTAAGTACAAAATATTATTTATGCAATAATACGTATTTTTTAATTGCAAGGTTATAAAACCGAAGCAGTGTTGCAGATCCTACCGTTGTCATGGTAGTGTCGTCCTTTATGGGAGTGAGCTCCTGAAAGATGCGAAGGCTATAGAAGCCAACCACAGATGAAACCAACAGATAACTGTTTAACAGTTAAGACTAACACAGTTGTTTCAGTCAAAACATTCACTAACATTTCCCTCTAGAACACACTCGCAACAATCATAAGCAAACAACTTTGAGTCCCTTCACTAAACACACACAATCTGCGAACAAACACTAGACTGGAGCTTATGCAGCATTAGTGTATCACACACAGCAAAGGATACAACATGAGAATGATTTCAATAACCGCCTGGGCAACTCCAAATGTGGATAAGGAGGCATTGCCAATATCTCTCTCCTGCAGAAACAAATAGTGAAAGTTACAGTCAATGGTTATTTTCATAAACTGAGTTTTTTCCCCCCAAATAAAATTTGGCTTCAAAATATGATCATTTTTTGCATGTCTCTCAAAGGCACCGGTTGAGGTTCTGGACTGTGGTAATACTCTTACATGGAGTAAGTGCATGCAGTGGACGTGTTTTAGCGACGTGCCCAATGCAAAGGTTCCTGTTACAACCGAAGCTGTGTAATCTAAATAAGACTACAGTGTTGACACCTCAGTGCTTCAGGCAGTGAGAGCAGAAAAAAGCGGCACAAATATTTGGAGCTGTTCTGAGTGAACGCTATTATGAAGAAATAAAACATATAAAGCTCAGATTAGTGAAGTTTCCCTTCTCACCAATGAGGACAGACAGAGTGAAATTGGTGAAGTAATGAATGGAAGCAGATGAAAGAAATCTTTTTAAATTCACCGCCGCTCACACACGCATAATATGTGAGCAGGTGTTCAAACAAAAAAGAAAAAGAAAAAAAAAGGCAATAGTGCTCTTACAGTAAGAGGCTGCTCAGAATGAATGGCTGCCAAAAATTAAGAGAAAAATTTTGGGAAAAAAACCAACAAAACAAATGCGCTGGCAAACAACGTTTTTCAATCTCAGGCCTTTAATATCTTTTGAAGTCACTGATGTGATCTGAATGTTTGGATTGGAATTTTTACAATAAAAGCCAACATTTATTTGACAATTTATCAATGTAAAACAACATTAGTCTGGCCTTGACAAGTAAAAAAAATTAATGAAAAATAAAAATCAATCATCACTCTCATTCTAACGATGTGTATTTGACAGTAGACCAATTCAAAATCAACAGAGCATATACAAATATTTATGATGATCTTTCTAACTGGATTAGATCAAATCTGAACCAGATTTGATAATGTCAGTCTTGCTTCTTGTTATTGATGACAGGCCTGAAGAAAGTTTACATGTGATTGAAAACCAGAGGAGCTCAACTTAAACACCTGCTTGTAAAATATCATCAAACAGTCAAACTGTTATATAAGTGAACCATCCAAAAAAAGTTAGCTAGAAGTTGATGCTGTAGTGCAGTGGGAAAAGAACTAGTAATGTGATCAAACATAAAACCCCATTCAACCCAAGAATTATATTATTGTACATAGGTGTATAAAACATTGATCAAATATGTGCAGTTTCACTCCACATCCATCCTTGACTGTCATTTAACTTATCATAAACTGACTGATACTATTGAACTGGACAGGTATCTCAAATCTCCTTTTTTTGCTCGGAGCTGTGTGAGGTGCTTGTTGGCGCTGAGTTTAAGGATATCGGTGTGTGTACCTTCAGGTGTGTCCTAACTACACTACATGTTTTGATGTGTCTCAGCTACCTCTGATGAAGGATAATTCATCAGAAAAACTGAAAAAAAGTACCAAAAAACTAATCATGGATAAGACAGGCCTTTTTTCATTCTCTCTTTTTTTTAGAAAGATATTTACCTACAGGTTAAGTGTCATCTGTTGACTCTTGTCAAAGGTTCAGAGGTCAAAAAGAGAAATACGATCTCTCTCGCTTTCCCTCTCATCTCGTTTCTCATTCCATCACTCCTTCTGCTCCATATGACACGTGAGATACGGGTTCAGATGAGGAACGGACATTAATGAGGCTGTTTTTAGCATCGACAATAATTCTGAATCCATGGGGAATGACAGCAATAAGACTTTTATAGCAGTCATTAGCAACAGTGTATCAGACAGCTTAATGCAACAGTGCCACTGCATTAGATCTCCTTACCTCACAGCCACATTTACGATGCCTTGCCTTATCTGACGGTCTCGGCGTTAACCTAGTTAACTCGCATCAATCTCTCTTAAGAATGTTGCGGAATGCTGGCCCACCCCCCACCACATCCAAACCCGACGTAAAACCCATCAAACAGACGTTCAGACACTGCTGCTGGGTTGTCGTGGTTACATGAGATCTTAAGCATGGCACCAGTCCAGCTCATCAAACACATAAACCATTAACCAGTCTGTCAAGAGGGCCCTTCGTCTCTGAACAATGTGACAAGTGTAATTTGGGGGATTTTCAGTCAAGCATCATGCCAAGGCAAACATCGACACTAATAAAATCATTAGAATGGGGAGTGGGCACTCTTATAGAGCAGCTCAACATGTTGAATTTCCTTTGTTGTTGCAAGACAAAGAAAAAAACGTATGAAACAGGGACAGCACGTAGGAGTGGTGAATTAAAGTGAGATAAGACCATCATTGTACGGACGAAAAGAAAGAGTGAGAACAAAACAATGTTCACGTTTAAGAAAACAGGAAATGATGTAACCGTTCCCATGGACCTGTTAAACTATTTACCTGTCCAAGCTCAAATCAGCGGTAAACTGACTTGGACCCATATTCAACCAGCCGTAGCTTGTAATTTCCTTGTCAAAGAGAAAATTGACGCTGTCTTCGCACAGTCGAAAACTGCGCAAAGGTTAAATGATGGTTTCATTACAGAGCTTTGACTGAAAGGGCCTCGGCCAAGTATTCAAAACACCCAGTTAAGACGAATGAGGGCTGTGTCCAGAGTTTCACACACGTACAGTGCGTGAGTGCCTTTGAATTGACATCATGCAGAGCGAATGGGAGCGCAACTCTGATAAAGAGCATCAAACAGCAGCGACATGATACACATCTCGACCTGCCTTTTCTTCTCCTGCACACACCTGAGCATATCTGGAATTCAGTGTGTCCCGACGCAAAGCGTGATTTTTGCAAGACTCAGTGGTAGCGATAGAGGGAGCAAGTGAAGGAAAAGCTGAGTATTTGTTTACAAATGGGGAGTGGGCACTCTTATAGAGCAGCTCAACATGTTGAATTTCCTTTGTTGTTGCAAGACAAAGAAAAAAACGTATGAAACAGGGACAGCACGTAGGAGTGGTGAATTAAAGTGAGATAAGACCATCATTGTACGGACGAAAAGAAAGAGTGAGAACAAAACAATGTTCACGTTTAAGAAAACAGGAAATGATGTAACCGTTCCCATGGACCTGTTAAACTATTTACCGGTCCAAGCTCAAATCAGCGGTAAACTGACTTGGACCCATATTCAACCAGCCGTAGCTTGTAATTTCCTTGTCAAAGAGAAAATTGACGCTGTCTTTGCACAGTCGAAAACTGCGCAAAGGTTAAATGATGGTTTCATTACAGAGCTTTGACTGAAAGGGCCTCGGCCAAGTATTCAAAACACCCAGTTAAGACGAATGAGGGCTGTGTCCAGAGTTTCACACACGTACAGTGCGTGAGTGCCTTTGAATTGACATCATGCAGAGCGAATGGGAGCGCAACTCTGATAAAGAGCATCAAACAGCAGCGACATGATACACATCTCGACCTGCCTTTTCTTCTACTGCACACACCTGAGCATATCTGGAATTCAGTGTGTCCCGACGCAAAGCGTGATTTTTGCAAGACTCAGTGGTAGCGATAGAGGGAGCAAGTGAAGGAAAAGCTGAGTATTTGTTTACATTTTCAAGTTTGTTGACTTGCATTTTTCTTACCGTTGAACCCTTTGGCAAAGCAGTCTCATCAACAAGCAAGTACACAATGTTCAGGGCAACCAGGAGAACAGAAATCGCCTGCAAGCAGCACAGATTAAAGCAAACATAAGCATTATAAACAGTAGAACGAAACATCAAACCAACTTATGAAATAAACTGCATCAAGTCACATGCTTTGTGGTTCATTATGATAACCCTGCAAAGTCTAAATAAACGTGTACCGTTCCAGCAAGCAGGATCAGCATCACTATGGGGTAAAGGAGGTTCTTTTCCCAGGCTGAGGCCTTCTTTCTCCTTTCTAGGACAGAGGGTGAGAGAAGCGATTCTAGTGCACATATTTCTGACTTACAGTACATATGTTTACAGTGAACTAACTTTGAGCAAATGACACCCAATCCCTTTAATTAGTCCATTCCTCTCAGTGCCTGATTTCACACCAAGAAAAAGAGTAACTAGTAAGATGAAAAATCTATTTAATACAGGAGAATTTTTAAAAGATTATCTTTCATCTAGCAAAGCTATAAAATAGCAACAAAATTTACATCACTGTAACATTTTACAAGTTTCATGAACAAGCAATGAACAAGTTTAAATTTATTATTACATAAAATAAAATTAGCTTCAAATATTAAAATGTAGTAGTCTATGTATAAATGAACATTTACCTAAATTAATAAATTCTGTAAAAGTATTGTCCATTGTCAGTGTATGAAGTGCATTAACTAATGTTAACAAATTAAACTTATTGTGAAGTCTCACACATATACTTGTGTTTAAAAGTTCAGGGTCAGTAATCATTTGGATAGAAACTGATAGTTTTAGTTTGAAGTGAAGCATTATATTGATCAAGAGTGATGTGGAAAAAAGTGAGATTTGTGAAAAGAAAAAATATGCTTTCTAAAGGATCATGTGACACTGAAGACTGGAGTAATGGTTGCTGAAAATTCAGCTTTGCCATCACAGCAATAGATTACATTTTAAAATATATTAAAATAGGGAAAAAGTGTCATTTTCTTTTCAATTATTTCACAATTATACTGTATTTTTGATCAAATAAATGCAGCCCTGATGAGCAAAAAGGGTTTCTTTTAAAAACATCTACAAAATCTAGATTTCAAAACAGTGTTTAAGAACTAACTGCAGCTTTTATGATAATTCATTGCTTTGCATTTCATTAGTGTGTTGAAATAACAGCTATCAGTTATCACTGGGTAAATTCAAGTAAATCCACATCTATGTAAGCATAGTTCAGAGGTATCAGTATATAGTTCAGAACAGTGACAAGTATTGGGGCTTCTCCTGCATTTGTTTTGGTAAGTTCTGCCTCAAAGTTTTTCCTCTGTCAAAAATAGCTTATAATGAACATAATAGGTGTACTGTTATAATGGTCATTTAATTTATGATGACTTATAATTGTTCCTTATACTCTTTTGAGAGTAAAAATATTAACAACTTTGACAGGTGCATGTCTGCTATGCTGGTCCAAGTCCTAAAACCGTTACTGGCATGCAATAAAAACACAATCTTTCATCTTTTCACCAACATGAGGCTGAGGAGTCAATCACTTTGATCAAAATGTGATTATTGTTATGATGATTGTACACGCCCTGTCTGGTAGAGGTTCAGGTTCATAAAGAAATCTATTAAAAGAAAAAAACACAGCAGGTGTGTTCCTGATCGTGTACTTGTCCATACCAGTGATTTTTAGGGAAGATCTGTACCCTCCAACCAAAATTGTGAGAACAATGATAGGAAATGTCACTATTAGCAGATCAGGACTGGATTGTTCTGCCAAACATGACTTAAGGCTGCCCTGAGGGGCTAACAAGAAGGGAGTTAAAAGTGAGAGAAAGAACAACAGTTGAGACAACTGATTGGATCTGGATCTTTTTGCCAAAAGCATTGTATGGAATAACCTTTGATTTCCTGCGATTATCAATACCAATGTTTTCACACTTTAAATTTGGCATGAAATAAAAATTCACCATCTAATTCCTAAATGCATGATGTACTCATCTATCTATGTTTCATAAAAAAAAAAAAACATTTGACATTTTATAGTGATGTGATAGTGACGTGATGTGTAGCCAAGTATGGTGACCCATACTCAGAATTTGTGCTCTGCATTTCACCCATCCAAGTGCACACACAGCAGTGAGTAGTGAACACACACACACACACAATTTAACAAAAAAAGTCATATGCCAGACTCAGATCATTTAGTTTGCTTAAACCCTGCCCCTCCACAATCGACTGCAGGCTTGCATTGATGTTTGAGTGCAATGTCCACATCTCATAATTCAATCAACAACCGATGGATTAAACCAAGTATTTGTGTTTCATACGGAGTTTAACCTTTCAGAAGCTTGAAAGGTACTGATATTAAAGAAAAAATATTATTAATTAGGTACTGCACTTTATCATGTTTACATATTTGCAGATATAGTTTGTTTTGTTTGTACAGTGCATTCATACAATTATCAATAAATAACTACCCAAATTCCTTTAAAAACCTAATTCCTGATGACAAACACACACACACACACACACACACACACACATACATATATATATATCTATACCTCATTTGTAAGTCACTTTGGATAAAAGTGTCTGCTAAATGACTAAATAAATAAAATAAATAAATAAACATATCACATAATCTTGATGACATAGGCAATGGTGGGGGAAAACACTAATAAATCCAACAGTTCATTTAAATCAGCATCAGTCAATAATTTCAGAACTGCTGCTGTCCCCATTTCAGGAAGATTAGAAAACTCTTGCATACAGCCCTTCAATTAAGGTGATAAAGGTGATGCTCAGTAGCGAGGGATGCTGGCAGAAGGAGAGGAGATGATGTCATTGTTTCCTAAAGAAACTTCAGTCGGTTCTGCATTACGTCAGTGGTAATTATGCAAAGCAGAGAGCCATCCGGTACCGAGGAGAGTTTTTGCAAGGTCACCCTGCCACTGCGCATCTGGGCAACAGAGAAAAGCATAGCAAGAGCCAAGACAGAGGACAAACAAATGCCTGCACCCAGACTGGTATGAAAGCACACACTCAAGACAAATGCACCTAAACACACAGTTGCAAGACTCCCTAGCAGTGCATAAAAAGTTCTCTTATGCAAACATTCACATATAGCAAAATAAATACTACATGTATGCATTCAGATACAGAAAAAAAAAAGAGAGATTACTTTAACCTGTATTAATGGCCTCAACGTCAGGACAGTAAAGCTGACATGAGACGAAGTAGAGATGCAGATCACTGCATTAATGTAATAACTAACACACTTATTAGCCCACATCAAAGGTCTGCAACAGAGCGTGTGCAGGCATGTAGGATCTAAATGAAGTTACAGTCAGATGGATAATTGTTATTAGATAGAACACAGATAAGACAGTAAAGCAAAGTAGACAGTTTCCTCTTGAACTCTCTCCCCCCCCCCCCCCCCCCTCCCCCCCGGTTTTTCTT